TCTTGGGGAGTATGGAAATGGGAGGTGGTGGAGAGGCTCGGGGGCCTGTGCAGCACTGTAACCGCGGTGCTGCCAAGTGGTCGGCGGTTTGAAGAGGACACCTGAGACCAGCGCACCTGGACAATGAGCTGAGGTGTAACCCTAAACTGAGATGAACCACTGTTTATCTTCCCCCCATGCTCTGCTTCTCTTGTTTTTTCCCATCAGTCTCCACACTCCAGCTTATTTTCTCTTCACCACCTGATCTTTTCCACCCTCTTATCCTCCCAATCTTTTGACCTGCTACTTCTCTCCTCTGTCTCACTTTCTTCCCAAGATTTTCCCTTCTGGGCATCACAAGGCTAATGCAAACATCCCACCAGTCCGGGTATGACTCATATAATCACATGCTTAACGATTAGCACCCTGCATTTACGGCAAGATTCATTATTCCGGAGGGAAAAGAGAGTCCAACATTCCCTCCCTGAGATTTTCCTGCATTTCTTCAGCTGCTATTTTCACACACGCACACACAATCGACTAAATTAGGGGACTGACATTTTACCCAGCAGCTGACAGCGGCTAGCAGCTGTATGACTCAGTAGCACAGAAGCAGTGCCCATGTCACCATGGAAAGGCAGCGTTATGGCGTTGTTGCCAGGGCTCTGCTGTCCAATACGCATCAGCTCCCGAATCATTGCTGCCTGAGCCGTACAGAGAGGAGGTGGAAGACGGCAGAGACAGAACTGAGGACGTATGGCAGAAAAGTACGAGACTCATGAAGACAGGGACTGAAGATTAACAGCACACGAGCAACGAGTGTGTTTGCTACTCATACCTCTCCTGCTTAAAAGGCCTACAGTCAGCATCCTACATACTCCACCCTTATTTGTACTATCCGTCCCCCATGACTCATGTCACTTGGGATAAATAAACACTCTCCGTACCTGACCTGCACACAGACGCACTTAGATGCTTGCTGTGTATTATTTCTTTGATGCACCAGCAACTGCAACTGCGTCTTTAAACAGCAAGTAGCACAAAGGACCAAAAATAGCTCAGTGAGTTGCAGAGCAAAACTGCTCTCCTTGAGGAGGGGAGGATAGAGGAGGAGGAAGAGGATGAGGAGCAGTGAGAGGTGTAGCGAGAGATGGCAGGGAAAACATGGTAAAGTGAGACCAGGACTAAAGCCTCCCTGCTGGGATCAATTTAAGTTTCTCCGCTAGTGTCATCATTCCCAAAACCTCACATCAAATACTGGAATCCAGTGATGACACCTTTATGATCACATTTCTGCAGTGACTGGGAGAGGGCTCATTTGCCCCGGAGGATTGCACACAGGGCAGCCCTGACTGCAATAGCTGTGACCACAAATCTGACATATAGACTGTAAACATGTCAATATTCAATGTGGGACAACCATTTAACACAGCAGCACAGCACGGTGTGCTGCTCTGCAAGTGTTTATTTCTCACCAGTCTAAAGTGTTTCTTTCTCTTCTCTTCTGAAATACTGTAAATTACTGGTTTCTGCTGATGATAACAACGTGGAAGCTTGTTTCATCTACTAAAAGAAACATTTTTGCCCTACATAAGTCAAGTTATGACTTAGTTACTTAAATGTCTGAGAAAAATAACTCAAACCTGACATTTTATTGTAAAGATGGCAAATTTTTGCCATCTGTACAATCTGTTAGAGTCTGAAACAAGCTTCCGTATGATGATGAGCCACAGCCACAAAACGCAAGGCAATTTAAGTGAATAACATTGATCTTCTCATTAATACACATGTACCTAGACATTGCCACAACATCAGCCTACATACACAAAACAAAAGTGCTCAGGAACCATCTCTGTCACTGAGTCTTACAATTTCAATCCCACTGAGAATCTGGAAGATGCTACAGGTCGATTTTGGTGCCACAGTGCAACCCACAGGACCCAAAGAATCTGCTGCCAGTGACACAGTGACAGACACCTGAGGACACCCCTGAGGTGAATGTACACAATACAAGGTAGTAGATACAAGGCAGATCGATCCAAATATCACACACTGTGATCTCCAACATAAGTTACCTTTATGCTGTAAAAGTATCAGTATTGATATCAGCAATACTGAACTGCATTTACTTATTATCTGATCTATATCGAAATCTGCAGTATAGCCAGGGATGGACTGGGACAAAAAAAATCGGTCATTTTGACTAGAAACCGGCCCACCAGGTATTATAGGAAAAACCATAAAGCCTTTGAATGAAAACAAACGCTGTTGTGACAGTGATGTACACTGTCTTGTTGGTATATGTATGATTTCTATACGTTGTACATCAGATAAAAACTTTGGTTGTAAGATTCAGATAATTATTTAATAAAAGCTAGATATTTTAAATGAGAATAAGAAGGAAAAGTATTTTATTTGTGCCCCCCTCTCCCTGTTAATGCCCTACCTGGCCCCTCTGGCAAAGCTTTGCTAGACCTGCCCCTGCACAGTTACCAGCTGTCAGCTACTTAGAAAAGGATCCTGGTGTTATTTGTCTCTCAGAAACAGTTCATAATTTCCCTTCAACTCACTCATGTCACCTAAAAGGTAAACCTGTTTCTCCATCACCTGTTCAGCTCTGATGATTCAGTAAGGACATCTCCTGATTTCATCTTCATGTTTCCCTCTCACCAGATAACCAAACCGACATCATGACCAGCAGCTTTTACGGCTGTGGCTCCAGCAAACATCAGCTGATACTAGAAATTAATATTAAATAAATTCCAACAACAGCTGATCAAGCTTAAACGTGCTGCTGTTGTTTAGCACGACATCCGCTGGTTTCCTCTTTCTGGCACAAAGTGGGCGATAAACAAGCAAGAGAGACGATCAGCTGATCATTGATCAGTTTCACGATTGAATGAGAGAAGAAGAGACAGCTGACAGCGTAAAGACAGAGAAAAACTCCAGCTTTGTGTCTTTTTCCATCGTAGCTGAAGTACGGGACAAACTGTGTTCCTTTTCACCTCAATACGAAATGCATAATATTTTCTCTGAATGCACGACGATTCCGTTTTTTACGGCATGGTTGGCAACTCTACTAACTAACCTTATGAGTAAAATAAAGTTCACTATCAGTAACATCATAGCACCCACCCAGCTGTAGAAACTCCGTCATGCTAGCTAGTACGCAGTACGAGTTATTGTAACTGACGGTAAAAACTCAGCATAACGAAAATAAACTCCACCTAAACTTGGTTTATATCTGATCCAGATAGACTGCAGGTCATAACTTCTTACCTGAAGTTCAGTTCACCTGACACTCGGATGGGCGGGTCTCTGCTCCTCCTGCCTTCCCTTTCTCTCATCCACCTGGCCTCTTGTGGCAGCTCCACCATAGCCACCACCAAACAACTGAGTTATTTTTACACATCTGCCAGCATCTGGCCAATTCACGACCTTTCATTGTTTATACTGTTATAAAAAAAAATTTTAAAAAAATCATCGGCCCATAAAAACGAAAAATCACCATCAGCCCCCCGGGCAAATGCCCGGTATGCCCGATGGCCAGTCCAGCTATGAGTATAGCACAGCACTACTAGGTAGATGGTTTAAATGTTATGATTATTTGGTGTGTACTTGGAGGTCCTGATAGGCTGATTTAGCTTGGACCAGCTAGCCATTTCCACCTGATTTCAGTCATCATGTTAAGCTAAGTCCTTCCCGTTTATTGTTCTACAGTCTAGGAACCCAGATAATCTGTTAGGTTTTTCCAATTGTGGTTTTATACAATTGATCACAGTGAAACTATAGTTGTGTACTGCAGATGCAAAACTCCATCCAGAGACAATGAATAGAAATTAGAACTAGCTATAAACACTCATGCTCTGTATTGGAACTATGTTAAGGAAGCGTCCCTACCAAATAAAAATGTATAAAATATATTAATTCAGACCATGAATTCTGCTTTCTGGTCATCGCCTGCACATACAGATAATCATCTTCAGACAGTAGTTAATTATTAACCAGTGTATTTCTGCAAATCCCATCTTGCTTTTATTTCTTTTCCTGCTCTTTATATGACCTGATGATCAAACACCACTGGTCAATGAAAGCTTTCAGCAACAAAAATCTTGACTTTTGCATATTCATGTGCAGAGATGGATAGCTTGCTCAGATTAGAGACTAGTTCACCCGTCTTTGCTCTTAAAAAGAAAAAGGTGCCATGTGTTCTCCTCTCTAGTAAAACACTGTGATGCACACTGGATGAGTCCTGCATATGCTGTTCGTATTATAATATGCCCCTGATACGGCGATCAATAGATTGTGACTGCATCAATCACATTATTCTTGCCTTGAGTCAGTCATTATCAAAGTAAAGTTGTAATTAGTTCACTAAATTGAATCTTCCAAAATGCCATGCATACAAATTTAGGGAGGAAACAAAACCTTAGGCAAATTGATGATAATATAGTCAGCTTTTTGTTTAAAATCCTCTATTGCCACTACTTACAACTGAATGAAGTGGAACACCTGTTTCAAACATCTCGAATAATAATAATAATAATAATAATAATAATAATGATAATGATAATAATAATAATAATAATAATAAATGAGCAATTCTGTGTGACTTTGTGTTAGATTAAAGTAGATTTGACCTATAACTCAAGTGTGTGTATATTAAACGGAGGAGCTAAACAGAAGAACTATGTAAGGTTGTGTGTATCCTAACTCCAGCATACACAAAGGTCAGCTTGAAGGTTGCAGTACTGCAAACAATATCTCATCATAATGTCAACATAATCTAAATAACCAGTCACCTTGAGCTGCATGATAACACAACAGCTGAGCAAACTCCTCCTGCTGATCTCACATCATAACAATTTAAAATGTTTATCCACCATTGAGTTCTGCTCTATTCTTCTGTCTCAGTACACGTACATTACATCAAAACCTTTTTTCCAACAACTACACATTTGAAATGTGTTTTAGTATCTTTGTTTGATTACAGAGAAGATAAAAGACTTTGAAGTACTCACTATTACTCGACTTGAGGTCTCTGTGGATGATGGGTACGAACGCCTGGTTGTGCAGATAGTCCATCCCCGTTGCAATCTGGACGGCCCAGTTCACCAAAACTCTCGGGGGGACCTTCTTCCCAGCCAAGGCTCGGTTTAGAGCCCCCCCTCGAGCATACTCCATCACCAAGCACAAGTTGGGCTCCTTCAGGCAGACTCCACGGAGCGCGATAATGTTGGCGTGCCGGAGCATCCAGAACAGCCTGGCCTCCTGCCGCACGCTCTCTGCTGTGACACTGATATCCTCATCTGGGTCCTGCCTGGCAGCCTTAACGGCTACTTCCTCTCCCCGCCACACTCCTTTGTACACTTTTCCAAATCCACCAGCTCCTATCACCTCCTCCAGGAGCAGTTCTGAAAAGTCAATCTCCAACGGACAATCACCCACCCCACCTGCCACCAGTCCTCCTGAAGTCAGCTGCTGGTAATTGGGAGTGTCTCCCCTTGTGACATAGTTGCTTGGAAAGATACCCACCTTGTCCTGGATTTTGCCCGTCCACCAGCCCTCATCTCCAGACACCTTAGAGTCCTTGGAGAGAACCTCAAGAAGGTCCCCACGCCGCAGGGTTAACTCTTCATCAGCTGTGGCCTCATAGTCAAACACCGCCGTCCAGTAAGGGTTGTTTGCCCCACCTCGATGACCAGAGTGGGAGTCTGGGGAGCCAGAGGAGGAGATGGTGGAGGAGTTCCAGCTGCTACCATTCTCCACCTGCACGACTGGGGCAGGAAACATTGGTGGCGCAGGGGTCATGTTTGGGGGCATGGAAGAGGAAGAGGTAGTAGAGGAAGGGGGCCCAGGGGGAATGAGGCAAGGGGGAGGGGGTGAGCAACAGCCCCCACAGCTGGTGCAGGACAGGGGGGCCGCTGTGCTGCTCGCTCTGTCGTATGGGTTCATGGCAGCCTGACTGCTGTTTGACACTGTTGGCCTGCCCTCGAACAACTCAGGCACAAAATCCATACAGGGCCCATTGACTGAGATGAGCTGCCCTCGACCACCGGAGGAGGGGTGAGGGGAATCAGTGGGTCAGAGAGCAGCGACTGCTCTCCCCCATCACCACATATCGCTGCTGAAACTGTGCCAAATCCTAAATCCTGTCACCGGCTGCTGCTGTGCTGTTGGCACAAAGTGTGGAAGTAACATGAATTCCCAAAGGCAAGTTTATTCAGGGATAACGTACATTACGTCAAACAGAATGGATCCTAACCCCATGCCCCAAAAAACTGATTGTTTTCAAAACTGTCTTGTGAAAAAAAGAAGAAGAAGAAGCTGGCTCAGGAGAGCGTATTTATCTGTGAAGGAGCATAATCAGAGAGATGTCTGATCAGCTAATAAGCTGTGAATTAAATCCATCCAGTAAAAATCCAGCATTTACAATCTGAGCTCATAATTTTGTTAGAATTTTGATTTATTTGCCCGAATGACCTCTGATGGTTGCCAGACATGTTCCTTGTATAGACTCTTAGGCAAACTGCTGTGGGTGTATGAGCTGAGTGAAATCCTCTGCGCAGAGGTCCTCATTATTTCTCATCCAGCCCCGTATAGATGCACCTCCACTGCCTGCCATCTCCATGAATATAGGCTGTTTTCTCTTCTGTGTTTGGGAATATCCGCGGATATGCGCCCTACATCCAGACAAGCCGGTCCAAGCTAAATCCTACACGCATGGCCACTCAAGAGCCGGTTCAGTGTCCCTGAATAGCCTTCATCAGAAAAGCCTCGTCCATTTTAAGACAGCTGGGCAATTAGTGAAATGAGCCGGTGGCTGGGCGACAGGTAGTCAATACAGAGCTGAGAAAGTGGCACCATGTTCAGCATCCAGCCAAGTCTGAGCATAACAAACCCGCCTCCGTCTCTGTGCAGCGGCCTGATTTAATCGCCTCTGCTGGGCTGCATTGGTGATGGTGACGAGCGTCGGTTTGGACAAGAAATTCTTCCTCACTGGTGACGGGAAAGAAATGCCAGCGTTTATCATTATCCCGTTGCCCTGTTACCGCGCACGATCGCCGAATCTATAGCGGCGTAAGGAAGGTGTGAGCTTTAAATGTCCGCCACTTCTTCAGCGGAGACGGAAACCGTCACATAAGGTTTGCATGGAGGCATTGCGGTATAACAGCTCTACAGGCTATCCGAGGACGAGATGAACAAATCCACTGTCTCCATTTTTCCTCTATCAAGACACATCTGTATCCCACTAATATTAATGATCATAATAATAACAATAATAAAATCCTGTGTGTAAAATGGTGCAGCGTATCCAGGTGCCTCTCGCGTGTTCCGCCTTAAAATGGCTTAATTTTAATACGTAAACAATTACTGTAACCTAACCTGGAAAGTGAAGCCAGCAACATCCACTGACATCGTCGCATGGGCGTACGGTTTACATCCAAGTAAAGGGGCCCATCGAGGTCCTCACAATTTGGCGTCAGATTGACAAAGCGCTCAGGGAGTCTGCGTTCAGCCAGCTGTCTGGAGCTCCACTGTATTCAAAAAGGCTTTTCTCTCTTCCCCCTCCACACACACACACACCAAACAGACAAAATATTTCGAGCTCCGAGCTGTCAGTCTGTGGGCTGACTTTGCATTCAAATATGCCGGAGTGCCGTTCACGTACGCTGAAGCGAGCGCTTCCCCCGTCACCGATTCTCTAATCATAGGGATGGCTGCAGCAGGTAACAGGTCCACGCCCGCGATCCCATCGCCTGTGCGCAGATCAGGGTGAAGCTCACTGTGCAGGGCGGAGAGTGTAAGACACCGCAGTCTGTTGGAACGGGACTGGACTGTGTTGGTGTGCAAGTGCACCCTGGGTAATGTAGTGTTTGCGTGCTCTCCAGCTGACCTACATCATTCTGGCGGCTGATATAACTAAATAATTAACATTATTACAATCATCGGGAAACGGCTGGCTGTACAGTACATTATTAGCATTATCCTTTAATATACTGTGGCCTACTGTCCACTTAAAACAACCAGATTACAATTCAAATAATGTAAAATATTATATATTATAATATAATGCAATAATAAGATTTTGGAGCTGAAAATAGGAAAGGATATTTTTAGGCTCTAGTTGATAACACGACACAAAAGAGGCATTTTTAACCCAACTGGTAGCCCCCTGATTCCCATTGTCCTGCTCCATTGCTTTTAATGTGTGATTTTTAAGCACCAGTGGCAGCTGGTATTTGTCTCATAGGCCATAAAATCACGGATTATAAAGCATTACTTATTTTATTTAGCCTATTAAAATTCAGAAAGCAGTAGCTGAAGGTCTTTTTATTTGATCTAAAAATAAGACCAGAATAGCAGTACAATGCAAAAAAAGAAAAAAAGAAAAAGCAATAAAATAATGTCTTTTTAAACAATAGTGTTCACGCCCATTAATTGTTGAGCTATACTGACCCCTGGTGCGCAGTTAGTGAAACAGAAAGTCTTGAATGGAGTGTCTTATTCAGAAGGGGATCAAACTCTCTAGTCCATCTTTCTTCAAGTTCTTTCGCCCCACTTCTTTTATTACTCTCCACCCTTCATTGCCGCTTTGAATTCAAGGCTTTTGTGTGGTGTCCTTGCCATCCTTTTAGCAACACCCTCCTGTGCGTCAAACTCCACTCTTTATCAGTGCTTAGGTTGCATGCTGTGGTTTATTCTTACATCTTATTAGAAGGTTTTTTTTTTGTCACATTATGTATTTGACTTGCTGGAAAATTCACATCCTATATTTTCATTATCAACCCCGCCGACGAGGTAATGGCTCAAAAAGTTTTGGATGAATTCTGATAAAACTTTGTAGAGTGTAGAGTGGGGTCATGTTAACAATCCATTAAAATTTGAGCTGAATCCACCAAGGTTTTCAAGGTCAACTGAAAGATTTATTCATCAAAATTGATAAAAAGCTTTATAACTTCAAAAATATGACTCCTAAAAGTCTGGTATGTCACATTTGACCTTTGACCTCTCCTTTAAGGTCAATAAACCAATCTGAAGGTTGGAGTGATAATATTTGCTATATATAGATATTTTTAAAACTATGTTTCTTACTGCAATTGTTTGTATTGACAAAATATAGGCACATGGAATATATGGCATATGATACACAGACATTATTAGCAATGATTTACAAAGCTCAGAGTCAGTGTTACAATACAAACACTTCATGTCATGTAACAATGCAATTCAATTAAGGAGGTGGTGGGTAAGGAGGTGGTGATTCATTTCAACAAATTACAACAACAGTCGACTCAAGGGGCTTTATATTTTACACACACACACACACACATCACAGTTATTGAAACCACACACAGAGTAGTGAGTTGACTTAATATATATACACCAACTACATATATATATAATAATTATAATATTATAATATATCATTTCAATTAATAATTATCCCGCTCGCCCCTGTGGGCGGTCTATCCTTCAAGCTCGGGTCCTCTACCAGAGGCCTGGGAGCTTGAGGGTCCTGCGCAGTATCTTAGCTGTTCCTAGGACTGCGCTCTTCTGGACAGAGATCTCCGATGTTGTTCCCGGGATCTGCTGGAGCCACTCGCCTAGTTGGGAGTCACCGCACCTAGTGCTCCGATTACCACGGGACCACCGTTACCTTCACCCTCCACATTCTGAGCTCTTCTCTGAGCCCTTGGTATTCTCGAGCTTCTCGTGTTCTCTTATAGTACGGAACCGCTACATCGATCACTACGGCCGTCTTCTTCTGTTTGTCTACCACCACTATGTCCGGTTGGTTAGCCACCACCATTTTGTCCGTCTGTATCTGGAAGTCCCACAGGATCTTAGCTCGGTCATTCTCCACCACCCTTGGGGGCGTCTCCCATTTTGACCTCGGGACTTCCAGGTTATACTCGGCACAGATGTTCCTGTACACTATGCCGGCCACTTGGTTATGGCGTTCCATGTATGCCTTGCCTGCTAGCATCTTGCACCCTGCTGTTATGTGCTGGATTGTCTCTGGGGCATCTTTACACAGCCTGCACCTGGGGTCTTGCCTGGTGTGATAGACCCCAGCCTCTATGGATCTTGTACTCAGAGCTTGTTCTTGTGCTGCCATGATTAGTGCCTCTGTGCTGTCTTTCAGTCCAGCTTTGTCCAGCCACTGGTAGGATTTCTGGATATCAGCCACCTCCTCTATCTGCCGGTGGTACATACCGTGCAGGGGCCTGTCCTTCCATGATGTGTATTTCTGATTATTCTTGGATGTTTGTTGTCTCATCCTGGACTGTGGTGCTGACACTCACCAGTCCCCGGCCCCCTCCTTCGCTTGCGTCAGCCTCAGGGTGCTGGACTTGGGGTGAAACCCTCCATGCATGGTAGGAGCTTTCTTGTCTTTATGTCAGTGGCTTCTATCTCCTCCTTTGGCCAGCCTATTACCCCAGCAGGGTACCTGATCACGGGCAGGGCGTAGGTGTTGATGCCCGGATCTTGTTCTTACCTTCAGCTGACTCCTCAGGACTTGCCTGACCCTCTGCAGGTACTTGGTGGTTGCAGCTTTCTAGCGGCCTCTTCATGGTTCCCATTTGCCTGCGGGATCCCCAGGTACTTGTAACTGTCCTCTATGTCTGCAATGTTGCCTTCTGGTAGTTCAATCCCCTCAGTTCTGACTACCTTCCCTCTCTTTGTTACCATCCGACTACACTTCTCCAGTCCGAAGACATTCCAATGTCATTGCTGTATATCCTGGTAGTGTGGATCAGTGAATCGATGTCTTGTTCACTCTTGGCATACAGCTTGATGTCATCCATGTACAGAGGTGGCTGACAACAGGTTATTGGTCGGTAGTTGGAGGGGACCGGTCCCTTCTGGGGGTCCTTGAGGATCAGGACTGTCCGGCCTGTCCGGTGTCTCTCGTCAACTAGCAGCTGGTTCATTTGTGCTGCCAGGCGCTCGTGGAGTGCAGTCAGCTTCTTTAGCCAGTAGGCGTGAACCATGTCGGGCCTGGTGCTGTCCAACTCTTCATACTGGAGACCCTTTCTTGGATATCTGCCACTGTGATGGTTACTGGACCCTGTTCAGGGAGGTCGCTGTGGTCTGCCCTCAGATCCACTAGCCACTGAGCATTGCCGTTATGGGTTGCGTCCTTCTCCCATATGCTCTTCCAGTATTGTCCGTCTCCAGCCTTGGTGGTGCTGTTCTCATATTGTTCCCCTGCCACTGAGAGTACACCTTGCTGGTTCTGTGGAGAACAGCTGGTTTATTCTCCTGCCTTCGATCTCTCTGGTGTACCTCTCAAGCGCTGGCCAAGGCTGTGATCATTGCTTGGCAGTTTCCAAGGCCTCAGGTATGGACAGCTTGCTGTACTTCTTAGGCACCTTCTTCATCGCACCTTTCTGCAGCTCCGATAGTTGGCTAACCTCCCTCCGTGCTACCTTGATCTTCCTCTAGCCTCCTTCTCCATGGAGGGTACTGCCCCTTGTGGCTGTTCAACTTGTAGCCAAGCATCTCACTGATCACTGCTGCCGTATTGTAGATCAGCTTGTTAGTGTCGGTAATCGTGGTTGTAGGTATTGTCCGTAGTGCTGCATTAACATCATCTAGCAGACCTTCTGAGGGTACTTCACGTAATCTTGGTAACCGGCTACGGGGGATCCAGGTTTCAAGCTTGGCCATGATCCTATTTTCAGGTCAGTTCCTCTCGCACTCAACGATCCTTCTCCTATCGCACTTGGGGCTTTGTACCCAATCTCGGGTGGGGGTGATGATATCTCCCCCCTGACCTGGCGTCCTGCTCCTCCTTGCCTAGCATTTTGTTGTACCTCGTCAATCTCTAGCTGTGAGAGCAGTCCCTTCTTTCGAATGTTGGAACACTGAGCTACTAGTTGTTTCTGCCGTCATTGTGGATGTTGGGTATCGAAGAATCCATAGGTCCCTCATCCTATTCATGTAACCCCTTCCACCAGGGTTACTTGCGTAGTAGCATTCCAACAATGCCCTATTTTCATGTCTTGCCCACCGATGCCTTCTTATTCCAGTAGCCCACTTCTCGTCAGGGTGCCCTGGGTCCTCAACACTTGAGGCGGATCTTGCTGATCCGGGCGATGTCCGAGCTGGCATGCCTTCATATCAGTCTCAAATAAAGCAGTTTTTAATATGTGTTATTTTTGTGTTATTATCTCAAAACTTTATTTTAAAAAGTTGAAATATACAGTGAGATTTACTGTTTAAAAAAAGCTCTCTGGAAAAGAAAGAAAATCAATCAACAGTATAAATATAAAAATAAATAAATATATCCAAATTCTTTCAAACAAATAGTTATATATCATTAACTTAGTTATTATTCATTTCAGGTTAATCGCTCAGCATTTCAAATCAGCAACCACAAGGGTGTGCTATTGGCCTATTTGTGAACTTGACATGACACTGAGTAAAAACTTATTGGGTTGTGCAGTAAAACGCTCTGTCCACAGTTTAAAAGAAACAAAATAAAACAAAATACATTCACTCAAGTACATAACAATACGGGGATATTCCATTCTGCTTCTTGATACTATTCAACCAGTTCAGATTCTGTTTTTTATTTTTTACTTTGTAGACTCAGATTATTCATACAACATATTATAAACAAATAAATTATAACTAAGTATTATTGGTTAGGATAAGATGGAAGTTTGTAAATGAAAGAAAAAAGGGCACCATCGTTATCTGTAACAATAGGTCTAATGTATAAGCCAATACTATAAAAATAATTTACTTGTGCTACTCTGCCTTCAAAATAACAGCGTGAATAGTTTTCGTTCATAAATAAACCGTACAAAAGCACAATAAATTAAATT